GTTGCCTGGGCACATCACAGGACCACAGCTGGCAGCGGAGTAGGTTGTGGGACCTTTTTGGGTGTGTAGGCTTATTGTTGGACTGAGGCTAGTGCCTGGGTGCATTGTGGGACTGCAGCTGGTGGTGAGGTGGGTTGTGGGAAGTTGGTGGGTGGCTGCACAGGTCAGGGGACCTTGGAGGGTGCCTGTGTGGGTTGTAGGATTTTGGCAGGCACCTGGGCAGGTTGTGGGATGTAGACCAGTGCCTGGGAGGGTTGTGAGACCAGACCTTAGTGGGCACCTCGGCACTCTCAGGACTCCAGCTGGAGGCAGGGCATTTTATAGGAACTCAGTGGATGCCTGTGTGAGGCATGGGACCCTGGCGGACACCTGGACAGGTGCGTGGGGGGTCTAGGTTGGTGCCTGGGAGGGTTGTGGGACTGCAGCCAGTCACAGGTAGCTCGTTGAGCCACAGTGGTTAGGCCACCTGCAGCTAGTGGGGCCATGGAGATGCTTGGCGCCCTGCCAGGGAGTTCAGTGACTGGGGCTCTTCCTCCACCCAGGTTCAACTGCGGCAGCTGCTGTGGTGCACTCAGGTGGCAGTGGTGATGCTATCGAGGTGGCAAGATGTCAGCGGTGGATGCCCAGGGTGGGTGGGTACCTGCTCTGCTCTGATCCCTGGGAGGCCGCCAGCAGTGGGGTTGGGGGATGCAGTATCCAGGCACAGTGTGGTGACAGTGCCAGCCCTCCCAGCCCGGCAGGGGAGTGGGGCAGTGCTGTGCGGGGGCCCACGGGTGCTCTGGGGCTGAGAGTGCAGAATGGCCTCTGTTGCAGTGACCCAATATTGGCAGTCAGTGGGACGCCACTGTGCCCACTCTCATGCCACACCGCTGCACAGCCTCCAAGCAGCCCCCATCAGTTCCAAGGCCGCTGTGGCGGGGAGCCCTGGGGCGCTGCCCCCTGAGCCGTCCCCACGCGTGGACTTTACCCCAGGCACTTCTGACCTTGCTGGCAGGTTACCCCACCGCTGTGTCCCCCACTTTGGGTGTCTTTGGTGGCTTTTCTGATGATTCACAGTGCTCTCTCCAAGATGGTCTGTGCATGACCGACCTCTGCCGGCAACTTGGGTCCTCCTTGGGAGCGGCCAATGCAGGCTGCTTCTGGGCCGCCATCTTCCGCTCCCACCCGTCCCGCCGTTTGTTTTTTTTTTTTAAAAGAAACTTCACTCATTTAACTCTGCTAAAACCTTACGGTGCGTCAGTGGCCAGAACCACATTCTCTGCCATCCTCTGGCGGCCTTCCGGTCGAGGTTACGTGAACAATACAGACAATAATCTCTTCTGCGTGGGCGCAGGACGCGGGAGAAGGCCCCGCGCCGCAGAGGGGACTGACAGCCTCGCCTGTGCGCCCGTTTGAGAGAGAGCTCCTTTCCTGCCGGGGAGAACCATTCCGTCGGCGCGAGGAGAGGGTGCAAGACTCGGCCCGGGAAGGGCGAGCTCCCTGGGCGTGTGGCGGCGCGGCAACCTTTCCCTTTCCCGCTCCCGCCGCGGCGCTTGTCCCCGGGCGAAACGGTCTTGCGCTCCACTTCCGGAGAGCCGGCCGGAAGCTGTTCTTCGGGACGTGGCAGCTTGTTGATGCTAGGAGAGATACGGCTGCTGCACTCTGGAAATGGGTCTTAATTTGTGAGATGGAGCTCTCCTTAAGTAGAAATAGGATTATGCATTTTTAATTTAGCAAGTGAGAAGAAGTGAGCAATTACTATCCGGAAAATTATTGGTTATTTAAGACTTTGTGCTTTCTGACCCTAAACTGCTTAGTTTCCTGTGTGCTACCAATTCTAGAAGGAAGGGCTTTACTCCATTTGGAAAAGAGGGCAAAAAATTAAAGAGAAGTCAATTTCAAATCAGTATAAAAAAAGTCTTTACAATAGCCAAGGGTAGCAGAAATGGAGAGGCTATTTTGTGAGGCAGAGTTTTGTGGTCATTAGAGATGTTTAAAGAAGGTTAGAATGGCCATTTGGTGGAATATTCTAGGGCAGGGACCCGTAAACTAGACATAGGCTTTTGGGGCCATGTGGCAACTACTCAACTGCTCAGCTCTGCTGTTATAGTGCAAAGGCAACCAAGCAAGACGTAAACAAATGAACGTGGCTGTTCTGTTAGTCTGTTTGGGCTGCCCTAGCAAAAGATCATAGCCAGGGTGGCTCAAATAACAAACTATTTCACACAGTTCTGGAGGCTGGGAAGTGCAAGATCAAAGTGCTGGCCACTTCAGTGTCTGTGAGGCGCGCTCTCCGGCTCGCAGACAGCCGCCTTCTGGCCGTGTCCTTACATGGTGTGGGGGCGAGGGGTGGAGAGCGAGAGTGAGAGACAGCTCTTCCTCTTATAGGGCCACAGTCCTAGCAGATTACTGCCTTACTCTTATGACCTCATTTAACCTTAGTCATCTCATAAAAGCTGGGGATTAGGTCTTCAAAATATGAATGGGGGGGAGATACAGTTTGGTCCATAGCAGCTGTGTTCCAACAAAACTTTATTTAAAACAACAGAAGGTGGGCTAGATTTGGCCCCAGGACCATAGTTTGCTAGCCTGTTATATAGAGGGACTCAGACACTGGAGAGAGAGTGGACTAGGTGATCTCTCAGCTGATAGATTCAAAACTTGGGGGCTATGAGTGGGTAACCTATAAAATCGGCTGGATCAGAACAAACCTAATTCAGGGTTCATTGACGAGTGTTTCTCAGAATGAACCATTTAACAAATAAAAATAGTTCTTAAGTCCAGGATTAATTTTACTTCAGTGTGCATGAAATCCATCTATACTTTTGGCTGATGGGAGCTGCAAATGCTGAGCTGTCCTGTGATCATCTTTAGAACAGGCCTGGCGCGGGTCCTCAGCTATAAACAGTGCCAGTTAGAAGGTCTGTGGTCCTTGATCAGCATATAAACCTATCTTTTCTTTTCTTTCTTTTGCAGCAAGGCCATGATTATCAATCCCCTCCTTATTTGTAGGAGAAGGGTCCCTAAGATATTTCTCAGCCCATAACCACCCTCCCCCTTTTCGGAGAGAAAAATAGAAGCTGCTGAGCAGGAACCCACTCCACGTCTTGCCACAAATCATACAAACCTAAGCGCATCTGCATCAGTTGCTGCTCTTCTCCTTCCTTTCTTTGGCAGTAAAGAAGGAGACCCTTCATTGCTGGCTCTAAATCCCTGTCCCTGCAGCCTTTTTGGGGACCTCATCACTTTTCCTTCAGTGTAAGCTGAAAAAAGTGTCTGTTTTTTTATTTACCCTGCTCTTGCCCAAATTCTATCTTATTTAAAAATCAAAACCAAACACAAATCCAATTCCGGGGACATTAAACAATGCAATTTTAACAGGAGATGGAGGGAAGGGTTATATTGCATATATATAAAACTCTAAAACTCTCATGAAGCATTCTGCCCTACCCGCAAATTCCACACCCAAAGTTCCATTCCTCATGGCAGCTCCCTTATCTTTCTTTTTTTCCCTGTAACTCTCCTCTTCAGTCCTGTTATACCTTCTTCTTCCTGATTGCCACTTTTCTTTGCCCCCTCTCTGTTTCTGGATTTTCCGAGTGTCACTTTCCAGATCTTTTTGCACAGACAGAGATTTTGTGCCTTTCTGCTTCTTCCATATGCGTACTGGCATCTCCCTGTGCGGGGCTCCTGGTGATTCTTATAAAATGCAAATTTGATCATGTTATGCTTTTTGTTGAGAAGTCTTCAATGACTTCCCATTGATCTAGGGTGGTTGCCAAACTTCTCAGCGATCCTAAAAGACCCAGTGTGATCTGGACCCTGCTTACCTCTTCAGTCACGTCAGCCCCTTCCCGGCTTCGTCCTTGCCCCGTTCCTTGTTACGGTGTTGCTCTTGCTCACTCGCTGTTCTCTGTGTCCAGAATACTTGTCACTTTTGCATGGAGCTGAGGCCTCATCTGGTTTCAGCTAGATGCTGCTTTCTAGTGACAGCCTTCCGTCACCCTCTTTGTGCTAGAAATGCTTCCTTCCTTCCTGTGTATATTTCTCAGAACAACCTTTTATTTCTACCATCCTGGTATCGTGCCACTTGTGTACTTGTCCACATCCCATTGACTCTTAGTTTATGAGGGTAGGGCCCATGCTTATCCTAGTCACCATTTAATTCCCAAAACTTAGCAAAGCACATGGCACATAGAAGGTTCTCAGTAAATATTTCTTGGACAGATTATCTACATTTAAAATATATCTCTATTTTTTCATGCTTGATTAATTCTAATACATATAAATTTATAGTTTATTACATAGCTTTAAAAGCCTCAATATTTTTCCTTTACTTTAAAAAAAGGAACAAATGTGTGTTATTTTTGGAAAATGTATGTTGTCTTTCCATGTGTCATTTTCTGTTTATGCCCTATTTATAAAGTTTTTATGACTTATAATGTTTTCAGAGTAGAAGTCCATATAAAATATATAATTTTGGTTATTCTTCTTCAGAATGAAGGATTAAACTCTAAAGATTTAAAGAAAATTTCTGGCCAGGCGTGGTGGCTCACACCTGTAATCCTAGCACTCTGGGAGGCCGAGGTGGGCAGATTGCTCGAGGTCAGGAGTTCGAAACCAGACTGAGCAAGAGCGAGACCTGTCTCTACTATAAATAAAGAAAAAAATAAATAAATTGGCCAACTAATATATATAGAAAAAATTAGCCGGGCGTGGTGGTGCATGCCTGTAGTCCCAGCTACTCGGGAGGCTGAGGCAGGAGGATCACTTGAGCCCAGGAGACTGAGGTTGCTGTGAGCGAGGCTGATGCCATGGCACTCACTCTAGCCTGGGCAACAAAGTGAGACTCTTTCAAAAAAAAGGGAAAATTTCCACTGACAGTTTGATTCTGACAGCCTTGTGGAGCACTTGCTGGTTTAGAAGTTGCTTTGGTTTTACCTTCAGTGAATGCAGAGGATGGGCAGGGATAATGCTTAGCATATTACATGTATATTTTTCTTTTCCTCTTTATGCTTTAGATAACGGAACCAAGGAGTGGCATCTGGAAATACAGTCTTCTTTTGATGTTGTCAGCTCAAAGCCAGTTGGTGGTCAAGTGACCGTAGCCATCCCTAAATTGCAAACACAGTGGACGTACAAAATTGAACTTCAACCCGGGGAAAGGATTGTTGAGCTATCTGTGAAAATTAACGAGGTGAATGATGATACTTTCTGAGAAGCACTAGATGAAAAACAGTACCTGTTCAAAAGAAATAGAAAGAATGGACTGAGTATGAAAGAAAAAAAATCTGCATTCTCCATTTATATTTTTAATATTTTCCTCCATTTTTAACTTCTCATATATTTAGTTTGAGTATGAGATAAGGAATGTGATTTTCCCCAAATTTTAAAATTAAGAAAATGGAGACTATATGATTACTTTGGTAACCTTTTCATTTGTTTTATTTTTATCCTTATATTTTATTTTTTTTTACAGTATTTGTAGTATCCTGAATCTAAAATACATTCTATGCAGTATAGTTAAATAGCAGCAATTATTTTTTGTATTTGCCAATTATTTGAATATTGGTGCCTATTCTACATGCAAAATTCTAATTCTAAACTCATGATCTTTCATCGGTTGAAGGGGCATGAATTTTACCTTTGCTTCTTCCTTTTCCTGTTCCTCCAACTGATGATTGGAACTGAAAAGGATGGAGCAAAATAACATTCAGTAACTTTTCAGATAAAGGAAAAGTCAAAATGACTTCTAGATCTTGGCTTGAAAGAAGAATAAACTTCAAAGTCCAATTCTAAGTGTTGACAGTATAAACGGAATATAAGCTTGAGTGTTAGAGATAGGAAGAGTTGTTTTTCTGATCACCCTGTTATTCTGTTCTTTCCTTTCCCTTTTGATATATTAATGTTTGCTAAATTCCTTGCATTTTGATTTTAAAGTATTATCAATGGATTGGTATGATTTGGCATAATATAGATAGGGAGATTTATATTGTTTTAGAACCTAAAGTTTCTGTGCTTGACTATATGAGAAATTGATATGGTGCTCTGAACCATATTATTTTGCTGCCTATGACATATCACTTAAAATGATTTATCTTATGTCTTAAAAGAATATTACCGTAGAAACTTGGTGGCCTCATGGACATGGAAACCAGACTGGGTACAACATGACAATTCTTTTTGAACTAGATGGAGGCTTAAATATTGAAAAATCAGCAAAGGTAAGTAAGCACTTTAAAATGTTTTGTGAAAAATTATATTTCTTGTTCAAATAGCATACAGATCTTTGTAGGAAAAGAAGAAACCAACAAAATTATAACCTACCACTCAGAGATAATCTCTAGTAACAACATTTAAAAGCTTCTCTGTATCTGTGTGTATTTATATTTTTTAGTGGATCAAACTTTACATATTATTTTGCCAATAAATATTCTCCTGCTATGCTTTTAAATTATACTTTGTATCACAATAATACATATGAATCATTTTAAAGCTCAAATATCACTAGAAGGTTCATATGAAAAATAAGATCCTTTGCCCAACACTTCCTATTCTTACTCCTCAGAACCAATAATTTTTAATGTTTACTTATTCTCATTTTTCTAAATAAGATGCTTCTACTGGTGTTTTCTAATTTTTCAGTCCTGCCAAATTTGGGATACAGCACTAAGAATTGGAAAGAACTGGTCTTTCTTATTCATTAGCTATAGGCTACTTACTCAATCTCAAAATACATAAAATAGGGACAGTAAAAATGAGATAACTTGGCTTTGGCTTACAGTGTATAGTAAGTAGGAAGAGTGTTAATCCTCTTCATAGATTTCCTTCGTGTCCCAACACCGATATTTGGTGTTCACAGTTGGCTGGGGCTGCATCCTGGTGTCACCTCTCACATTTGGCATCACCTCCCCTGTGGGCTGGACAACACGCTGAGTTTGGGGGTGTCCTTCAGGTGCTCATTTCCTGTTTTTCTTTTGTTCAATCCTACTACATACTTTCTGAGACACTGTGAACGTGTGTGCATGTGTGTGTGTGCATGTATGTGTGCGTGTGTGCAGGCGTGTGTGTGTGTGTGCACGCACACATGTACAGGGAGAACGTTCCGGACCTGTCTAAAGGGCCACAGCCCTCCCTCTCACGCTAACCCTCTTAGCAGAGGACGTGTGCTCGCTCACATGTTGAACTGCCTGTGTTGTCTTCATGAAAATGTAAAAATTAATGAGCCACTCTCATTTACTGCAGAGAAAGAAGAAACACTTGTGGAAATAATTTTTTTGTCATTCGGGCTAATATGGTTGCATCACTTTTCATTGCACGCAAGGATGCCAGCTTCTGAGCTGAGCAGCAGCAGGAGCGAAGGAAGGTGTACTGCCCCATGCCTTGTGTGCACACGTGTGTGAAATGTGCTTTTTGGCCATGGCTGTTATCAGGTTTGTTATTTTTGTGGCTCATTCAGTCAGTGCATACTTAGGGCCCCTGTACTGGGTTTCAGCTGTTTTGCTGGGCCCTGGTGATAGAGCTGTGAGTAAGACACTGCTTCCATTTCTCTCTGAGACCTTAATGGAGCTAACAGTCTGCGTGGGAGGTCAAATCACTGAAAGAGCCATCGCGACAATGCGTGATGGTACGGAGAGTACGGAGAGTACTGTGGAGACACAGAGCAGGGGCACTCTGGGAAGAGTACTGGAGAAGGTGACATCTTATGTCTGAGGGATAAGTAGAATATGGCCAAGCAATGTATTACGAGGGAGAAGGAAAAGAATATATGAAGGCCCAGAGACTGGAAGGGATATTGTATGTTTGTGGAAGTGTAAGAAATTTCAGTGTGGCTCTGTTGGGTTTGGAGTTGAAGAGCAAGGGATGATGTTGTGCAGGTAGGTAGGCTAGGGCAGCCCCTGCAGGGCCCAGTGAGCCATGAGAAGGAAGGAGCACTGTCCCCAAAGCAGTGGGATTCCGGGAAGGATTTTAAGGATTTTACAAATATTGTGTAGATCCAATTGGAAGAATGGCAAGAATGGAGAGCCAGTTAGAAGACTGTGGTGGTAATTCAGGCACAAAAGGATGATTGCTCAGTCCACAGAATCGCTCAGGAAATAGAGATAAGAGCTAACACATCAGGCTTGATGATATGGGGGTGGGAGAAAAGGAGTTAAGAACGTTTCCTCAGTTGCTAGTCTGGGCTGCTGAACAGATGGCAGTTCTGTTCTTTGAGCTGAATTACAAAGAAGAACAGGTTTGGGAGATGTGGTAGGGCGGAAATTATTTCATGTTAGATGCATTCTGTGTGGAGTGATTGAGAGATACCCAAGGAATAATATTTGATGGGCATTTCATCATATAGGCACTTAGGAATTGGATCTGGGTTGAGGATATAGATGTACGAGTCAGCCAAATAGGGTTCCTGGTAGCTGTGGTAGGGGATGAACTCTCTCGGGCTGTGTGGAGAGGAGAGCTAGGATGGATCCCAGGGAATCATGACGAGTAAGGCTGGGAGGGGGAAGAAGCCCATAGAGAAATCTAAGAAGGAATGGCTGGAGAAGTGGAAGGAAAGCCAGTTTGAGTGGGGGAGTCACAGATACCACAGGGAGAGAATAATTTCAGAAGCAGGGCATGTTTAAAGAGTGTCAGATGCTGTGAGGGAGCTCAAGTTAGGAAAGAGTTGAGAAAGATCTTTTAGATTTGGCAGCAAGGAGATCTCTAGTCACTTTGACCGAAATGAGAATCAACTTGCAGTGGTTTGAAGAATGGCTGAAGGTGAGGAAATAGAGACGGTGAATATAGGCAACTCTAAGAAAATGTTTGGTTGGGAACCATGCCTGAGCCTTGTGGTCATCGTGCCCAGTTGGGGTCAGGAGAGTGGCTACATACAAGCCACTGAACAGATAAGTAAGTATATTGAAGTAATGGGAGCCAGCCTGTTCACAGATGAAGAAGCAGCAGATACAGTAGATGTATGAATTTTCGTATGTATAGACATTAATAGATATAGAAATACACACACACACACACACACATTTCCTGGCTCCTAGAAAGAGTGGCACTCTAGTAGCAATGAATAGAGCTAGTGCCCATAGCTTGATTTTTGAATATCACTTTCTACTAAAAGGAATCAGGATCCTTGGAGAAATGACTGATTCCAAGGCTGGGCCTGGAATATCTTGCTATGCCAGGAAGTAAGGAGGTACTCAAGAATGGCTGACACTTTGAAAGGACAGAAGAGCCAGCATACTGGGGCTCCCACTGGCCAAATCTGGGAAAATCTGAGCATTAAAATAAATAATGCTAGTAAAAGAATATAACCCATTGAACAAAATAGAAAAAATTTTGAGTGTGTACTCATATAAAGAAATAAATGAATAAATAAATGGGAGAGAAAGGAGAGTTATTCCTTGAAATGAAATGCTAACTAATGAATGAGGAAGGAATGATGAAGCTAGAAAAGTAACCATTTGACTACTACCATAGTTATAAGTAATTCAGGCAAGAAATATGAAGAGGTACTAAAACGAGAGGGTAAAGTAACATGAAATATGGGCTATTTCTGTAGCCTCACAGCATCATTCCACAAAATGTTTATTAATTATAATGGAGAAAACAATATAGTGGAGAAACCTACTAGAGGTTGTCTTTTTATTTATTTATTTATTTTATTTTTATTATTGATTTATTTATTTTTAGCGTATTATGGGGGTACAAGTATTAAGGTTACATATATTGCCCTTGCCTACCTCCCCCCTCGAGTAAGAGCTTCAAGCGTGTCCATCCCCCAAACGTTGGACATCTTACTCATTGTGGTTGTATATACCCATCCCCTCCTCCCCCTCCCACCCTCCTAACACCCGATAAATGTTACTCCTATGTGTCCACTTAGGTGTTGATCTGTTAATACCAATTTGCTGTTGAGTACATGTGGTTTTTCCATTCTTGAGATACTTCATTTAGTAGAATGGGTTCCAGCTCTATCCAGGAATATACAAGAGGTGCTAGATCACCATTGTTTCTTAAAGCTGAATAGTATTCCATGGTATACATATACCACATTTTATTAGTCCACTCATGAATTGACGGGCACTTGGGTTGTTTCCACAGCTTTGCAATTGTGAATTGTGCTGCTATAAACATTCGAGTGCAGGTGTCTTTTTCATAAAGTGACTTTTGATCTTTTGGGTAGATGCCCAGTAGTGGAATTGCTGGATCAAATGGTAGATCTACTTGTATCACTTTGAGGTATCTCCATATTGCTTTCCACAGAGGCTGAACTAGTTTGCAGTCCCACCAGCAGTGTAGGAGTGTTCCCCTCTCCCGCATCCACGCCAGCATTTGTTGTTTGGGGACTTTTTGATATAGGCCATTCTCACTGGAGTAAAGTGATATCTCATTGTGGTTTTGATTTGCATTTCCCTGATGATTAGAGATGTTGACCATTTTTTCATATGTTTGTTGGCCATTATTCTGTCTTCTTTTGAGAAGTTACTGTTCATGTCCTTTGCCCATTTTTTGATAGGGTTGTTTGATTTTTTTCTTGCTGATTTTCCTGAGTTCTAAATAGATTCTAGTTATCAGCCCTTTATCAGATGTGTAGGTTGCAAAATTTTTCTCCCATTCTGTGGATTGTCTGTTTGCTCTCTTGACAGTTTCTTTGGCTGTACAGAACCTTTTAATTTGATCATGTCCCATTTATTTATTTTTGTTGCTGCTGTGATTGCCTTTAGAGTCTTCTTCATAAATTCTTTGCCTAGGCCAATGTCTTAGAAGAGTATTTCCAACATTTTCCTCTAGAATTCTAACAGTTTCACACCTACAGTTCAAGTCCGTTACCCAACATGAGCTGATTTTTGTGAGAGGTGAAAGGTGTGGGTCTTGTTTCAGTCTTCTACATGTGGCTATCCAGTTTTCTCAGTACCATTTATTGAACAACGATTCTTTTCCCCAGTGTATGTTCTTGTCTGCTTTGTTGAAGATTAGTTGGCTATATGAGGATGGTTTTATATCTGGGTTCTCTGTTCTGTTCCACTGGTCAATGTCCCTTGTTCTTGTGCCAGTAAAAAGCTGTTTTAATAGCTATAGGCTTGCATTATAGTTTTAAGTCTGATAAATTGATACCTTCTATTTTGTTTTTATTGCCTAGGATTGATTTTGCTATACAGGGTCTTCTCTGGTTCCATATGAAGCGTAAAATTATTTTTTCTATATCTGTGAAAAATGATGATGGTATTTTGAT